GAGAGCCATGGGGCTCTTTAGCCTGGAAAAGCCCAGGCTCAGGGGTGATCTGGTGGCCACCTGTAAGTTTATCAGGGGTGACCACCAGGATCTGGGGGAACGTTTGTCCACCAGAGCGCCCGAAGGGATGACAAGGTCGAACAGTCATAAACTACTACAAGACCATTCCAGGCTGGACATAAGGAAGAATTTCTTTACTGTCCGAGCCCCCAAGGTCTGGAACAGCCTGCCATCGGAGGTCGTTCAAGCACCTACATTGAACTCCTTCAAGAGCAAATTGGATGCTTATTTGCTGGGATCCTATGACCCCAGCTGACTTCCTGCCCTTTGGGTGGGGGGCTGGACTTGATGATCTTCCGAGGTCCCTTCCAGCCCTAATGTCTATGAAATCTAGACAACAAACACTTTGGGGCAGGTCTTTTCTGGATCTTATGCCGTGTGCAGTGCTAAGTCTGTACAGGTAAAAAATAATCAAATAGTAGACACAATGCAGGAGACTTGACCTTCCACTCTGACTAGACACCTCAAAGAGGGGTGCCCCAACTCAGCACTGGTGGAGCAGGAGGAAGACTCCCATAGTCAGATTTTATGGAGAAAAATACCTTCTGCAGATTCCTGAGAGTGCATAAATCAGCCAAGCAAACTGCCAGAGGAAGATGACATTCCAAATGAGGAAGGTCCCACCAGCCGGTGTGAAGCCTGTGTTGTACTTGTTTGAGATGTTTCCGACGCTATTGAGGAATATACCTGTTGCAAGGAAAGTGATTGCAGGAAAACATGTTACAGCACAGAAGACACTACTAATCACCACACCCTGCAATTCTCCCTGGATCTTACTGCATAAACATAAATCCATGAGACCTCACAGGACACGCTTGGAGAAACAATGTCTGGTCTCTAATGGGCTTGTTTTTACAAAATAATTAATGAATTATCATAAGTTATGAAGAACAGGTGTGAAATGTCATGCTAAGAAGGAATTTACAATTACACAGAACCAGAAAAGCCAGTTGTGCTTGAAACCCAGATCTGGAAGCTAGGAGTGGAGTCCAGGAGAGCTGGCTGTACTTTAAAGAAGCCTTGCTGAGAGTACAGGAACAAACCATCCCAATGTTCATGAAAACTAGCAAATATGGCAGAAGACCAGCTTTAAGAAAGGGAAAAAGGAGGATCCAAGGAACTACAGACCAGTCAACCTCACCTCAGTTCCTGGAAAAATCATGGAGCAGATCCTCAAAAAATCCATTTCTAAGCACTTGGAGAAGACAAAGGTAATTAGGAACAGTCAGCATGGTTTCCCCAGGGGCAAGTCATGCCTGACCAACCTGACTGCATTTTATGATAAGGTGACTGGCTCTGTGGATGTGGGGACACCAGTGGATGTGGTGTACCTTGATCTT